GTACATATGAAAACATTCACTGAAATAACAACAACTAAGTAATTTGCGCTGACGGGAGAAACATCTTCAGGTGTTACCGTGTGGAAATCTAAAGGACGCGCGCAAATCATAAGGATTGTTGTTCAGTCAAAGCTGTCGAAAAACAAAATCTTCTCTACCGAAATGTAGAATTCATCTATTTTGACCCCAAACTTTACTGATGGCCACCATAAAAGATAATATAAACTTCAAGTCCTCAATAGTGAGAAAAGAAGGTCTATTGACCCATATTAACCCTTGAAGTTTGCAACACGGTGAAGAAATAATTTCGTTTTGAATATGTCAATGGGTGTTGGAATAGAATTCCAGTAACTCACGCGGACCAAACCAATGCGGGAGATTGTTTACTTCGTTTTTAACTGGTTAGAATAGTTGCAATATCCAGGTGCTGAATCGCTTCCTCAAGTAATCTATCACAAAAGAAAAAGCGCTAGTCTGCATTATGAACATTAGACGTTTTCAATGCTTAGAAATAAATCGTATGCTGCAAAACCCATACAGCTGGTATTTATTGTCATCACAACGGAGTTAGTCACATCTGTGTTATCGCACTAACAACTTCTACTTGCAAGACGACATTCGAAAACATCACTCTAAAAAGTTTCTAGAACCCCGCAGAGTTGGCTACAAGGACTGTTATGGTCTGGTCAGAAGTGCAATAATCTTATTCAACCCTTCGTTCTCTCATGGAAGACAAGCTCCAACACAATCTATTGCTTTAGAAGCAGCAAAAGTCAGCCACAGTCAACGATAAACCACAAAGAGTATTATAAATGAAGTCATTTCTGATAATCTTTTGTGAACAAATAAATAGCTATGCGAGAAAACGTCCTTGTTGAAACATGGGTTGAAGAATGTCCCAGGTAAAACAGAAGGCATGGACAAGTGGAAGCTTTAATCAGAGGACTGGGTTTTCTGAGATAGATGTAAAGCAGAAATTTGGAACCGCAGTGAATCATTTGAAGCCAAGCCGAATCATCAATCCGTGTAAACCCATAAATACCTCCATTGGTTTACAGCTTGGAAAAAGCCAGCAAGCATGAGAGAGCGAGTTATCAGAAGCCTGTGTGATGAAGATATCATCAACTTTGAAATGAAAGACATTCATGTCGCTCTGTCAGTCATACAGTTAAACCAAGCGCATGTGCATGGGTGACACTCCGCCATAAAACTGGGATTAAATAAACCCGTTGAGTGGCATCACATAGAGTAAAGTCCCTGCAACCCTCAAGTCACTAGGCTGTTCCCGTGTTTGACCCATTGTTTTGGATCAGTAAATGTAATGCAGGGTTTCTTAAAATATAATTCGGACCACTATATTCTTATTTTCGTGAGCGAACTCCCATTAAGGCAGACTCAACAACTCTCATTTACCCCAAGTGCATCAGAAAGTAGACATTAGTCAGAAGTAGTAGAAATTTTCTAAAGTCCTGTGGAGGCCTTGTAATGATAGGAGAATTGATGAGATGTATTAAAAAACACGAATTACCGTAAACACTTTCAGACCCCTCCTACAATAATGCACCTATTTGTGACAATATTCCATGCATACATCTCCACTTTGTAGCGTTGGTTTGTTTTTGTTTCTTATATGCTTCTATTTCCCTTTATATTCAAGTGCATTTTGTCTATCTTTCGCTTCGTTCGAAATGATCGTCAGTATATCGCTTGGGATCTCTGAATCATGAACAACTCTTTCGTTTTACGCAGGGTTTCGAATACTGTCTTGATATTACTTTTTGACAACTCATTGTTCTTTATTACTTCATTCTCTTAACTGAAGTCTCTAATCACATTTTACTTTAGTAACAAGAGCTAGTATGAGTTTTGTCTAATAATTTATCATACCTTTGTCTGATCCACTACAAGATGTTAAGTAGTTCAGCATTCACTTTGGGTGAGGCATAAATCCATCTAAATGTTCTTCGGATCTGTTACACAAACTCAATGTGAGATCATAGTTTGGTGTACCGACAGACTTAACCAAGCTGGATGTCATTACTGTTACAGAACAGTGGCCGATGAGGTCTTTAAGCAGTACGGAACTTGGTTTTGAGAGTTTCAGACGAGTAAGATCTGACAGAATTCAGATTCAGAAAGGAAGAGGAGTAACTCCATTCGTTAGAAATACTATCTCATTTAACGCTAGTGATAACATATCCTATTAAAGTGGAACGTAAGAATCAGTTAGTTACCACTCGAAATGCAAAGGATAAGAGCTGCTGATTGGTTTGGTTTTCCACAGTTCAAACTGTAAAGTGAATGACATCTTTCTAGGCAGTCTCAACACTTGGTCATCAAATGGTCTATGTTTAATCCTAGGAGAATTTGATTAACCTAAATTTGACCGGAAAAATATGGGAACTGGATTATTAGCGAATTCCTTCGGACAGAAACTACTTGATTCGATCATAACATGTGCTCTAGTGCAACATGTAAAAGAAGCAACTAGGTACAACCCAGACTCCAAATCATCCCTACCGGATCTAATATTGACCCAGTGTGATGATGACTCCACAGATCTCAATTATATGCCACCTCTAAGTAAAAGTGACCATGCATTTTTGTCTTTGATTCTCACATAGTTTTCAATTACTAGGGTGTGCCATTTCAAGCAAAATCAAATGTCTGGGAAGCAAATATACAAGATATTATGCACTCATCACCCTTAGTAAATAGGTCATTAGAACCAGAGTCCACGACTGAAACGACTTTGGATGCGTTAAGAAATTCGTAAATAAGAGTCACAGCACCGCGAATCCTTCGGACCACATCAAGAGACCCGAAAATTTCTTCACCGTATTTTAGTGAGGAATTTCGCTCCCTCCTCTTTAAGAGGAAGAAAATGTGCTGTAGATTTAAGCCACTGGATACTCGCGAGACGAAGTCTCAATATCAGGAAACTCAAAACATTCGCGCCTCCACCCTTCTCAAGTCTAGAAGATTTTAAGAAGAAAAACATGTTGAGAAATCTATAGAATACACTAAACAGGTATAATCGTGCACAGACCAAAGGACTAAGAGAAGAGGAAGTTCTCCAGCACTGGATCATTAATGTAGGACGATTATGGTAGGGCTCAGTTGTTCTCAAACTACTTTATCAATGTATATACTGTAGAGATGCCCTCCACTTCAGTTCATAAAGTCCTCCTACAAATTGGGCACTGCAGCTATTAAGGAGGTGACCTGATGGCTTATAGTATCCTTAACACTTCTGGACATCCTCTCAAACACCCACTTTAGCTTAGTTACAAAACTAACCTAAGAGGTAACACCCAAAACTGGAGACACAACATAGCAGGACGGACTGTAGACACAACTTCTACTCCTTATGAGTTGTCAAATGCTGGAATTCGCTGCCGAGCGAGCTAGTGCAAGCAACTTCCCAGGAGTCCTTTAAGAGGTGACTTGATCTATTCTTAAGGACTAAGGATAGTGTCACACTATGATTTACTAATTTCTTTTCCTTTTTTATTGTTAACATACCTAGGTTCCTGCCTGGAGGATTTGGTGATCCCCTGCTACTAGACACGGAAGCCTGTTAAGCGAAAGCTTCTTTTATTCCGTCCACAACCATTTGAACCATTTGAACCACTTAGAATTTGGAAATTTTCAATAAATACATCCAAGTGGATCGTGATACATATTGGCCACCGAGGTACAGATACATACACGGTGAATAACAGTGAGCCACTTATTTTTCAGTCAGACAATGTCCTAGAGGCCATTGTTGACCTAGACTTAGAAGCTGTTTCACACTGCTGTGCGATAGTCGTGGAAGGTTTTAGAACCCTGTGTTCAATACGCAGGGCTTCTAGCCATGTCGATGCTAAAACCTTATCGTGTTTGTATACAGTATTCGCGCGTCCTAAACTCGAGTACTGCATACAGGCAACTAGCCCCTCTCAAAAAGAAGGGTTCAAATAACCGCAAAAAATACTGATTGCTGGAATAGCAAAGTTCCCGTATGTTGCTCGACTGCTTAAACTAAATCTACTTCCATTGTCGTATCAAAGAACCAGAGGCGATTTGATGACAGTTTTTAAATGACTTGTTGATAAATTCGCATCTCATACTCCTTCACTTTTCTTGTCTTTCAAAACAGAGAATGTGCGACGAATTCAAAAATGTTCACACGCCCTGAACAAATTACTCGTCACCTGAATATCGACTTTCACATCGAATCATGAACGAATGGGATTCATTACCCTGATACACGAATGAGGCTCCATCTGCCGGTACTTTTGAAAGAAAGTTTGCTCAGCCTTGAGACCACCATTGCCAGCACCAACACAGTTCACCTAGTGTCCTGTTCTTTTATGATGATTAGAAGTATTATAATTAATGTGCTAGCTAGGAATTCCCGAAACAGTGCAATTTAAGCCAGACAAAACTAGATGAACATGAACAAACGTATTGTATTTGCAATTAGTAATAAGCAGGTGATCAAGTACAAATGAATCATTAGTTCGTACAAATACCACAAGTTTCCACACTGAAACTGATTGAAACAAATGTGTTTAAATATTTGTGGTTGAGAGCATAGCCAAGGGTTCTCGTACAACTTAGTTGTACTCTGTTACCCTAACTCCTGAATCTTAATCTCAACATAAGGGTTCCCAAGTTTTTAGCCAAAATAACGGGAAGGTAGCCGAGCATTATATTTAAGTCCTAATCTTAACAACTAAAATCCAAAGTCTATTATCTAATCCTATATTTCGCCTTTTAGCTGATGTCCTTTGATGATGTAAACTCTGAGGGGTTATAATCCCCACTAACAACACTAGTTTGACTTAATATATGAACCTTATCTTTTTATTTAACTTTATAACTGGATTGTCCGTTATTCAATGAACAATCCAACATATGAGGTAATTTTGTTTAATAAAACAACTGTTATACTGTAACTTTACTACTTTTTGCTGTCAGTTGTATTATAACTTTCCTCACATACGGTGATGCTTTTATATAAGTGGTATTTATCAAGAAAATGTGATAAACTAGTTCATAAATCAAGTTAGATAAAGTTTTGCCCGCGCTCAAACTGAACAAAGACCTTGGATCTATTCGTTAGGTCGTTTACTACCTGTCTCAGGGTAGGGTGTTATTCCGTACTTTACGTCATTCCCCATCATTTCGAACTATGTTTAAATTCTCATTAGAATTGCTTCTATCTTAATCTGAATGATTTCTGTTGCTGTTTTGTGGGAATCGTAACGTCTTGATTCTATATATGTTGGTGATGGATCCTTAATTAACTTTTCCCAATTTATGTTAGCCTGAGTAACTCTACGGTACTACCTCTTTATGTTCACTGTTTTTAAGGGCATAACAAACCATGTAAATCGGCTCTTTTTATTCTGCTTTTTCCACAAAAGCACTAGTGCTTACGTAACAGGCTTATGTATCGCGTTTGTTGTTGCAAATTCTGGCAAGGTAAGACTACTTCGATAAGGTTAATAAACTGTGTTTGCGTTTTCGTACTATACTGTCTTCTAGTAATCGCCCACTTACTCCCACAGAAGACGTTTATACAACCTGTGTGTGTTTGTGTACGACAACAGACATGTTGATATTGGTGGCAGTGGCGTAATTGTTTTAGAACTAAGCGACGTTTGTAAAATTAACTGAGAAACAAGAAAAAAATTTATGCATTGTAGACATTGGGTATCTCAATTAAGCTCGCATGTTTTCTTAAAAACGGGAAATTCTTGGGGTTTTATAGAAGAACGTAAATGAATTTCCGCAAAATTTAAGGTTATTTCGCGGAAAAGCCCCAAACCACGAGAAGTCTGGTATTTTTATGTCTCATCTCTACGGAATTTTCTAGTGGAGCTTCTTGAAAACAATTCTCAAAATCGCGAGATCGAGACAGCTCACTAAAATTGTATCGAGCAGTCTTAACCTATAAAGCTATGGTATTTATTTCTCAAAAATTATAACCCTGTCGTTTCGCTCTCCCAAGACAAATGCTTTTTTCAGTTTGTTTATTATCGTCAGTTCTGCTGAACGTCTACTCTGCTGTGAGATGTAAAACCTTCAGTTTATGCTTATATTATGTTAGCTCTCTGGGTCTCTGTATTTATAATCCATGAAAAGTCTAGCCAGTTAAAAGACTGAGAAAAGTATCCCTGTGGATTGATTTCAACCACATATACGCACATTTTTCAAATAGTAATAATTATCACACTTGTAGATATCAGACTTATCCGGATCTATGTTAATATAACTTTATCCTCATCTTAAAAGCTTCTAATTAATCATAGGGGAAATAAGGACACCTGCAATAATAATTTTAATTTCGAACAATGATATTCGTCGTAATACAGCAAGATTTTAGCATGTGAATAACAATGAGCAGATACGTAGCATGACAAAAATGTTGCTGTTTTGATAGTATAAAACTGGTTGTTACAGTTCGCTCGATATGTTATAATATATGATGGTGACTTTTTTTGTTTCATAGGTCGTGGATTTTTTTTGGTATATTGTTACTGTCATCAACAAAATACCTAAAGACTCCCCAAATGCTCCAAATACCGTCGATTAATCGGTAGTTCGTTTCACATTATTTTATCCATTTTTTAGAAATTCGTCAGTTAAAACATCACTTTCAACGATCAACGTTTTAAAACACATTGTCGAATCAGGAGATTGGTGTGATCTAAAGTAATTTTCTTAATTCTAACAGTATGGTAGAAGTTTGATTGATTTGATTATAAGAAAGTTACATGATCTCTGCAAATACTCAGATGACAACACCGTAGTCCTCAATACAACTTTGAGGGTTCTAAAAGCTTTTCGTGAGGAGGCACTCAAGTATGTGTTTTCCTGGTTTATATATCTTTGTTATATAGGTTCCAAATGGGGGAAAATGCAGACTTTGAGGAGAATTTAACAGTTTGTTGATATATGCCTGACCTTTTTGTAGAATCGCCTTTTTGCTGTAGGAAATGAAGCTTATGAAACAGTTTCTCGTAATGATATTTTAGAGCCTATCGTTAGTACACTGGATGATTTGGCACTTGAGGTAAAATCTTGTCTAACAAGTTTGGGTGACTTATCTCTGGATTTTATCCATTCCGATGAACTCATCATGACTTCAGGGTATTCCAAGGCAGTACACCATTTTCTTCGTGTATGTGCTACATTCTTGATATCATTTTTTTAGCACGCAGCGAAAAGAGGGAGAAATTTCAAAGTTATAGTCTGTGAATGTTATCCTGACAACTTGGTAATTAGTAGATCAGTTTGTTTAATTTTAAAAGGGACATAAAATAGCTGAAGAACTATCAAAGGATGGTGTCGATGTCATTCTGGTCCCTGATAGCCATGTTTTCGGCTTGATGTCGCGAATAAATAAAGTAAGATTTGTGGGCCATAATAATCTTCTAGGTAATTGTTAGCTGCCAGGCTGTGTATCCTGATGGAACGTTAAAAGCTAGGGTGGGGACTTATGGCGTTATGCTTGCAGCCAAAAGTTTTTCGATTCCGGTAAGCTGTTTGATATGATAAAGACTAGCTACATATAGGTACTATGGTTAGGGCCAACTTTTAACTACTAGGTCGCAGATTCGCGTATCACCTCACTTACTTCGGTTCAAGCTGGCTCTTAGTAAGACTAGCCCTCACATGTTAATTGTGGCTCACAGTTGAGTACACGAATCTACACTTTTTAAATGGATTACATTATGCAATATTTAACATATTGTCGATTGCGACCATTTACGCTTCCTGCTTATAGCCGTTTAGGTTTATTCATGATGGTATTTAGCTGTTGGTTATTTCAATACCGTCAAGACTAATAAATACAAAGATCCATGTCACTCGGCTGAGTGTTTTATTCAAGTTTTACGACATTGGTTGGAATTTACGTTTGCTTACATTAAATCACATTATGTTATTTCGATAAATACCATTCATCATACTTGATATTTCCAACTCCTATTCATTCTACAATTGTAATTATTCGTTTTTATTTTCTTTCATGGCGTTTGTCTGATGATATGTTTGCTTTGAGCATAATGATTGTCTCTTTAATTAGTACTTTGTTGAAGATTTACAATAAGACACTATCATATAATCATTTTATTATAGCAATTCATTGAGTGACAATAAGAATAAGGCAATTAAGTACAAATATTTAGTGTTATTTATAGAACTAGTAGTTCTGAACATCGGCTCTCTTAGTTAACCAAAGGAGGAAAGAGAACAACAAGATTTATATTTACTTGAACATATAAACATTGGTACAAGAGGGCACCAAATATATATGCACCTTACAATACAAATGAGGTTGTGAAGGTATAAAATAAAGTTAGGATAATGAAAAGGAAGAACAAAAATCAATAGGAATTGGTGTGTAAGTGTGATATAACAATAATATAATTATATCAATAGTGGAAGAAGCAGTTCATTTGGGAAACATTCAGTGGAAAAGAATTGTTTTAGTAAAAGAAGTTACATTCACTTTTATAAAGAGAGTAAAGAAAAGTTACAGCAGGGTCGCCATTGACTTCTTTTCTGAGCCATATTTGATAACTTCCATATGCACTGTGTTGCACTCTGCCGCAAATTTAGTCCATATATTTCCAGACTCCATCTTTTACATTCAGCAGCAGAACTAGGTACGTACATCAATAAATTTTAATCTTTGTGCACAGAAAAGTTTTGTTCATCCTCTTAATTTACCATGGCCTTCTTTGTAGTTGCTAGTTTTTCAAAAGTTTCAATTCTATTTTACTGAATTTTACGTGATCTATCTAACTTAATAATCTGGTTACTTAGTTTTCGTTGTACCCGTTTTAGGAATTCTATATTATTAGTTTTACGAATAACATTAAATGTTTATGTTCGATTGTTTTATTTTTACCTAATGAATCGCTATGATCAACCGATTATGTGATTGTGCTTTCCGATTTAGTTTCACATTTGTCGGGTTTCTATCTGGTTACTAGTTCACAGAAAACATTGTCGAATTGACTAACCGCCATTTATTCGGTATTGATTAATTTTTGATTACAAAACTTATGTATTGGTATAGAGCCGTGATGAGGGACATGTGTTTTAATGTAATGGTAATACTTAACATAGGGATTATATAATTATTGCTTAACTAACGCCTGTTAATCTTTTAAGAAGTGTGAATAGGCGTTTCACTCAAATGTTTTGATGTATTAGTATATACAGAGTTGATGAATATTTTCGTACTCGTATTTACACATGAATATTTCTGATGTAAATTTAGTCAATATCGTCTATTGCATCTTCACTGCTTAATATGATGTCCGTGAAATGTGATGTTACATCTTTCATTGCTAACTGTTGTAAATTTCAAATGTATGGACTAACTGAAATAAAGTATTATTCACTATGGTGAATCACTGCTTAGACTAAACGTCTTTACTGGTTTCATAGCTTAATAAACTAAACTGGATAATATGATCATTGTAGGGGGAGTTTGGTTTGCAAAATTTGTTTTGAAGATAAGATAGGTCAATATTCATGTGCATTTAATTAAAAGGCACCCTTTTTTAATTTTCAGATCTACGTTTGTTTGCTGCATCACAAACTCTCTCCTATTCCATTCAAGCACTCTTCTCGATCAACACCATCATTCTCTGTACAGCCTACTGCTAATCCCAGTGATAGTTCGCCAGATTGGCTGGATAGCCCATCAGTTATTTTACCGCCAAATGAGCCTAAACTAATTAACGAAGGGTTAGTTTATCATCAACCTAGCGAAGGTCCGGTTGTTTGGGTTCCAAAATGGGAAATTATACCTTCGGGTCTTGTCAGTTTATTTTTGACAAATCTTGGCACTCATGCCCCATCATATTTATATGCTCTTGGACGAGAATTGTTCCACTCTGCAGATATTAAGACAATCATGATATGGGACCAATAACTCATATGATTTGTGTACAATATTTTTAAAAGTATTTTTTTGGTTAGGAAGTTTTTATTTATTCAGTAAGTGGCTTCATATAATGATAAGATTTAATAATACCCACTCACTTAAAAAATAAACTCCGAGAAGTTTGATTATTGATGTGTGTATAGACGACTTATAATCATTTTGACTTGTGTACCTATTGTATTTTTCACCACGCGTTCAGTGTTAATGTATAGCTGTCATATATGTAAGTTACTACAAAGTGATCACGATTAGTTGTCGAATAAAAAGCAGAAACCTTATCAACTTTTGAGTACTTATCCACGAACGTCTTTGTACCTCTATCAGGCGTGAAAAGTATATAATAGTCTGAGATATTAGGACCAATTACCAGTTAGCGCTTACGAAGTATATCTCTTGAAGAAATGTTTAGTGCCTAATGATATTAGGCTGAATTCTCGAGGTGTTTTGCAATTAGAAAAGTTTTTAGATCAGAATATTATTTGAAAACTAGGTGTTATATTCCTTTAGGGTTTTTACTTTATGTATGAAGTTCCTCTTTTGACGGAAGTAATATACTTCTAAAACTAACATATTTAATGATTATCTGGTTTTACGTATAATTTAACTACAAGTGATGGCTTCTTACTAATTAGTATAGTTTTTCGTTTGTAAGTCTTATGTTAGTCACGTAGATTATCTTGATATTGTGTAACAGAATTTCAGTCAACATTGACTCGTTTATCTGGTACAAGTTTATGTGCCCAATTTTAAGGCAGTGTTTGTGCATGGAGTAACTATATTAACTGAATGCTTAACATGAAGTGGGTGTTGACGATTTTAAACTCGTAGATTAATGATTAAGGGTCGTTTGGGTAAACAACTTAACGATTTTTTTAGAATTACTGTCAATACTAAGAACAATGTATAAGCTCAAGTTAGTGAAAGTGTTAATATTATTGTCCTGTACAACAGTTCAGATATGTAGAAGCAGTTAATTTATGTGTGTAAGATTTTATGAATTTAGGTGAGAGAATAGAAATTACCAACAGTTTCATCAAACTGCTTCGTAATTCATAAGGAATATGATTGTAGATTATGTGAATATTGGTTTTGTAAATTTAACAGTAGTATATGAATACAAATATTCAACGATCACGTTTTTGAGAGGGCAATGACACCCACTAACTCATTATGGATAAAATAATACGGGCTTTGACACTTGTACATAACGAACACTCATCTACTGGGTGACGATTAGACATATTGACGAGCGTTATACGTACCTACTTTAATAATAAATGAATTGTTGGATGAGTAGTTAGTTTTCCTAATTTCCGGAAGGATATCATTGTTTTACGTCAGTGAATTCGAAAGTGATGACGCAGGCAAATTGATCAGTGATGGTTTCTTGTATCATGTATTCATTCATAATTTAGTGAAACCATTTAGAGTATAAGCTCTGTAATTTTCTTTGATCAAATATTTCCATAAGTGGTTACGTAATCAAATGATTTGAGACTGATGAACAGAGATAGAGTATTGTTCTTTTGATGATAACTGAATCCTTCGGTTCTGCCCATGGTTATCATCTCAATTGCTGTAGGTCTATCTCTCATATAATGTTAATAAGTATAAAGCTAATATAAATACTACTCTGAAGGTTTGACGGGTTTAATCAATTTCGAACCTTTGGAGACGAGTATTCCTAAACCTAGATACTACTGATATTCGTACTCATAGTAGAATGAATCTGTAACCGTAGAGAATTTGCTACTTTGTGATATTTTCATATCCATTGATTTTTAGAGGTATACGTCCATCTCAACGACGAATAGTGCAATCCAGTCTTTATTTCTAACTACTGAACAGAGAAATAAAAAACTAAGAACGATCAAAGACTTGAATAATTTAGTTGACTATTCTAGTAAGTCTTAGGAATTTACAATAATCTTAATGAGTCGAACCAATGTCTTATCAAGCAGTAAAATATCAGTTTCTAGAGAAGTGGATTGATAGAATTGCACTGTTTCGAAGCGGTATAGTATCACCAATAGCAGTGAAACTACCACAGTATATATTTACTGAGTTCATCTCGAACATTGAAATTGTACGTGAAGTAAAACTTCTTACGACATGTTCGTTAATCTAATTATCAATGTAGATTAATGTTACAACGTCAAGAAATTTGTGGATATTCGATATCTAGTTAGTGTTTGTTCAAAGTTTGGTTGCCGGTCACTAAGCGATCTTGTTATAAATGAATCCATACGTTGTCGAAAGTGTGTACACTGTTTGTTTCCCTGTTTCAGGAATTACCTGGACCGATAAGTAGTGATTACTTTACGTTGTAATAATACAAGCATTACATTTACTTTATCAAATAAGCTAAAAGTTCAGTCTGATAATCGGACTAACAGATTATTACAATGGGTTTTCGGTTAATCTCTTGAATACACATTAAGGAGGAAAACCACTCAATTGATACCTATCTTTTCCAAAGTATTTGTCTTTAAAAGCTTATCATAGGCTTCAGTAGGACCGATCGGTGACTGACACAGAATCCTTGAAATATCCCATCATTACTGACCATCACACTAATTACAGCTGACCATGGGGATTGTTTGATCAAAAAGGCCGAGAGTTTGTGACTCTGAGTTCCAACAGTTTGGGATTCAGGAAATCACTTCCTGTCGGGTAATGCGGTTTTAATACGTACATATCCTATCTATATTTCGCAAGTTTAGACACCGTCCAATCATAGAAATAGTAAGTAAATTGATCAGCGGTTCACTTTGTGTTGCTCAATATCTGTGAAACAGTCTATGAATGTAAAAGATATGTGGCGGCTGTAGGTGTTTTAATCATAGGTGACTTCGGAGCACTGCTCACGTATCATGGGACGACTAAGGTAAGCTATTTTGAGGTTTTATAGAGCATACTACTATGGGAGATTGATTGATAAGGCTGTGAATTTTTATCTACTGAGGTGGTTTGAGGATAGTATTGAATATGCATAACCACCGCCTCTCTCGACAGTCTATGTTTATTGTGTTAAGTTCGCTGCTTGATTAACGCAGAATACGGTGTACACCTACGGCACTCAAACGTAAAGAAGCACCACAGTTTCAAATCAAAAGACAAGACTGTAGAAGTGTTTGTTGGGTAAGAATCAAAATGCGCAGGAAAATCATGTATATTTACAGATATTAGCGTTTGTTATATCAGCATTATAGTTCAGCCAATCCGCAGAGAAATGTTATGCTATTGTTCAATAGTAGCATGCCATGTTGATATTCTAGAAAGCTCCATCACGCTCTGACTGGATTGAAATCCTTAGGCTCCTTTAGGGCCTTTGGAGGCTCCGTCGTAGTTCTTAGAAGCCGTCCTAACACCTCCCCAGGCTAAGGTCTCTTCCTTGCGTCCACTTGTGGCCTGACGACTAATTTGCGACGGCGTTCCATTTTTTCGCTCTCTCCGATCTAAGTTTTCTTTTCACTATCCTTGGGCGTCTGTATCGTTGATGCATCTGAGATTAACTTGAGTGCAAGATTCAGCTGATCATCTCGAGTGTGCATCATTCCTTTATCTTTAAGGATTTGGTTTGTGTGTCTGATACATGTGCTACAAGTCCCTCGGACTCTGTAGAAAAAGGTTTCCCAATATTTATACGATTTTCCCGGTTTCCATCGATTTTTTCCGAGGTAAGACTTAACGAACACTTTATCTCCAACGTTAAAACTTCGGATATTAAGATTTGGTCTATGCCCATCTACTATTTTGGTTGGCAACATGGTGTTGAAAATAGTTCGAATACATCTTCCAAATATGGCTTCGACAGGGAGCTTTCCGTCTAGGACAGTTGGGTTCGGAATAGTTCTGTAGACCGTTAAAGATTTTGTGATTACCTGTCTAGTTGAACCCTCGCCTTCTCCTTTCAGTAATACTCGTTTATAGGTGCCGACAAAACGTTCTGCTTGTCCATTCGAATGGGGATGAGAGGGCGGAGAACGTAGATGTGTTATTCCATTTATGCAACAAAAATATTTGAATGATTCTGCAACGAATTGTGAGCCATTATCAGCCACTAAATTCTCTGGGACTCCAAAACAATTGAACAAAGTAGATAACCTGCGGATTGTTTCTGAGGCTGTACAATTGGACATACTATATATTTCTGTCTACTTCATAAATGCATCCACAATAATTAGAAACATTTTACTTTGAATTGAACCGGCAAAATCTGCATGAAGTCTCTCCCAGGGTCTTGAAGGTGTGGGCCAATGCTGTTTCAGACCCATCAGGGAAAATGTGAGTGATGACTGCTCCAATACCATAGTTCAAAGCATCTGAAGCAACCACTATTGATAGGGAAGGATCATAATGCGGCAGCAATAGATTGGAAGTTTGGAGTCGCTTGATTTTCTCGAAAGATGCTTGACAGTTTGCCGACCAATCCCATTTTGTATTCTTCTCTAGCAGTTGGTTTAATGGAGCACGCAGACGATGGAGATTAGGGAGGAAGGTACCATAATGCCTGACCAATCCCAAGAAAGATCGTAGGGTAGGGATGTCCCTAGGTCTAGGCATAGTTTTCACAGCTTCAATTTTCTTTGGATCTGGTCGTCTTCCATTTTTATATATTATGAAACCGAGATATCGTATCTGCTACACATAAAAGTCACACTTTTCTGTGCTAAGGCGAAAACCATATCAGGCTATGCGTTCTAGGACTTGATCCAGTTTCCTCTGCAAGTTCAGCTTATCTACTCCCATAATTATGATATTGTCTAAATAAGCCGCCGCTCCTGGAATACCTTGTAACATGGTATTGATAATTTGCTGGAAAATAGAGAGTGTCGTCTCCACTCCAAAAGGTAGTCGGTTATATCGGAACAGACTCTTGTGTGTGTTCAATTCCAATAAAGCAAGAACAAACACTGATACAAAATAGTATGAATTCATAGTATTTCGAGATTTCTCGTCAGCTGCTTACAACCAAATATGTAGTAGAATTTTACATTGAGATAAGAAATAGTGTAAAACGATTGACATAAATGAATGTAAATGATTAGAATGACAAAGGTTTATAATAATAACTATATATATATAGATGCAAGAACAGGTCAGAGGTTAATTAGTGTTAGAATTAAGAAAACAATTGAGGAAAGATGCTCTGATGGTTTAGTGGAATTATACATTGTGTGATAATTTTAGAGGTAGTGAAGGATTCATGGAATTAAGTGATAAAATAGGTTACGTAATAGTTGAATGGAAGTTGAAAAGCTAAGAAAACTTAAGAGGAAAAGTGGGCGTAAATGTGTGGACGAAAGGTTGGTTTACAAGTTCGGTAATGGTAGAGGAGGAGGGGAATATAACACAGATTAAATATTTTAAAAATAATTAAGATTGCGTAAATAAACAACCAATAAAGTAAAAATTAAAAAATAAAATGGATTACCAGGGTTATAATAAGTTAACTACTGTCTCTTTCTGAATACATAAATCCGGTTTAAGTTTTCTTATCGCGATCGCTTCGGCAAAACGGATCTCAATCGTACGTTTTTGTCTACTGATAATTTTAAAAGCGTGCGGAATATTGATGGTATGCCCGGTGACAAGTAAATGCTGAGCTATTGCACTACTGAGAGCCTTAGTCCCTTTCGGCCTCAAGTTTTTTGTAACATGCTCAGAAATGCGAACGTGTACTCTTCTCTCAGTTCTTCCAATGTATGTGCTGTGGCACGTACATGTGAATCGGTGAATGCAATTGGATCTACTGAGAAAAGAGGACTTGTCGATTTTAGTTTGTTTGAAAGAGCAGTTCGTTTCCCACTCAATTTTGGCCCACCAACGATTGACGAGATCAGCATGGCCATCAGGCAAATAAAGAGCGGTAAAGCAGCAGGACCAGACAACATTCCAGAAGAGGCACTAAAAGCTGACATAACAGCACCTGCAAAGATACTCAAAATTCTCCTCAGCAAGATTTAAGATGAAGAACAAGCACCAAAAGACCGGAAAAAAGGACACCTGATCAAGATGCCCAAGAATGGCGATCTCAGCAAGTGTGAGAACTACAGAGGCATAACTCTATCAAAACCAGGAAAAATCTACGGCAAGGTGTTGTTAAACTGAATGAAGGACTCCGTAGACACCCAACTTCGAGACCAACAGGATGGATTCTGTAAGGATCAATCGTGTACAGACCAAATAGCAACTCTACGTATCATTGTGGAACAATCAATTGAATGGAATTCACTACTCTACATCACCTTCGTTGACTACGAAAAAGCATTTTATTTCATGGACAGAACAACACTACAGAAGCTTCTTCGACACTACGGCGTGTCTCAGAAGATAGTCAATATCATACAGAATTCCTATGATGAATTGAACTGCAAAATCGCGCATGGAGGACAGGTCACAGACACGTTCGAAGTTAAGACCGGCGTCTCGCAAGGTTACTTATTCTCACACTTCCTCTTTCTCTTGGTGATCGACTGGATCATGAAGACATCAACATCTGGGGAGAAGCACGGGATACAGTGGACAGCTAGGATGCAGCTGGAAGATCTAGACCTCGTAGATGAACATAGTGGGTCTGATGCAGATGTGAAAGCGCGGATCGGAGAAGCAAGAGCAGCATATCTACAACTGAAGAACATCTGAAACTCAAAACAGTTGTCAACAAACACCAAGGTCAGAATTTTCAATGCAAATGTCAAGACAGTTCTACTATATGGGGCGGAAACCTGAAGAACTACAAAAGCCATCATCCAGAAGATATAAGTGTTTATTAACAATTGTCTACGCAAATACTTCGGATCTGCTGGCCGGACACTATTAGCAACAACCTACTGTGGGAGCAAAAAAAACAGATTCCAGCAGAGGAAGAAATGAAGAAGAAGCGCTGGAAGTGGATAGGACATATATTGAGGAAAGTACTCAACTGTGTCACAAGGTAAGCTCCCACTTGGAATCCTTAGGACTAAAGGAGAAGAGGAAGACCGAAGAACACATTACGCCGAGAAATGCAGAGAGACATGAGAAGAATGAACAACAATTGAACAGAACTAGAAACGAAGGCCCAGGACAGAGTAGGATGGCTAATGTTGGCCGACGGCCTACGCTCCATTGGGAGTAACAAGATTTAGCAAGTAAGTAAGTAACAGGAAGGGCAGCAAAACGCACAGGTCTCTTAGGTCGAAAAAAGGGAGTAGCTCCAGAGTTGATGTTTAGTAATGTCTTGGCTTTCGTACATTCTCCCAATTCTTCTGTAAACACATGGCGGTGTTTTTGTAGTACGGCATTTCTCTGAACCCACTCTAAAGGGTTATCATTTCTGATTCGGCTGCAGATGTTGTTAATCGATAGGTTAGAAGCAAGCTATGGTAGACCAAACCAGGAAAATAATAACAGTCTATAGAGTCACTGGTTGCTTCTCTGAATCACGTAGATGCAGGTCACCTAACTTGTATTCGCTTGATAACCAACACTAGTGGTCAGGTGGCATCCTACAGAATCATTTACAGTGACAGAAACGGGGTGGTTCATTATCCTCCTCTAGGTCTTGAGTTACAGTATTTCTTCATACACACTTCATCATTGTCTTTTTGAAACGTATTCTCAATGCTGTCTGTTTCATTATCATTACTGCTACATTACTTCAACTTCTTTGTAATATTTTTTGAAATTTATCTCCTACCAATGTGGTCTGATAAACTGGAACAACGCACACAGATGCACCAGACCCTACATTGGTTATGACTGACCGAAATATATCAAGCCCATATTTACCATACACGACACAAAATAAGATAAGCAAGTATGCACAAAGTGGTTTGGATGGGCGTTTTATTTGGCGAAATTATCTGATGATTATTATTCGGTGTAGTCTTCGTTGATTCAGAGTAATAAATTACTATAATTTTTTATCAAGGAGATACATTCGTCATGCTATTTTTAGAAATGTTTTTGTGTTTTTCTTGTTTAGTAACATTTGTACAACGATATTATTATGTATGGATCTCCTATACAATAGAATACTTTTAACCTTTACTATAATTGGAGTTAATATTGTTTCTGTGTTTTACTTAATGGATTATTTCCCATAAATTAAATATGTATGTTTGCAGTCCATAAAAAGAAACTATATATGGCATCGTTTACAGCTTTTGTTGATTTTATTCTAATCTGTCATTAGTGTTTGATTGAAAACAGTGATCCCGTTATTCTAGTAACTTATTATGCATCAGAGGCTTCAGCCCAAACGATGAAGAAGTACTCATCAATTACCTGACAGAATTTTATGACGTGTAAACCTTTCCTTATGGTTTTTAGATCCTCCTATCTTAAGATTCATCACGTAAATTAATAGTATATCACTAAATACCCGATACTGTATTTGTATTTCTTCAAATATTTATTCTAAGTATTAAACATGAGGGATATTTTGTAGGGTGTGAAATATATATTTAACAAATTTAGTTGCTAAAGGCCTGATTTTAATCGCCATCTCATTTGAAAAAATAGAGTTCTTCAAGTGGTATAAACCATTGGATAATAAATTAATGATCTCAAATTAACGCGCTAACCGTGAAAATTGAGGGTTTTGTGTTCAATTTCTGGTGGGGTCGTGTGAGTATACTTTTAAGAAATGCCAAACTACAACAAAGTCGCTGTTTAGTAGTTCTTGTATATGTGTTTGTCTAACTAGGAAAGCCGTAATGCAAACTACGAACCACTTTACAAACCTCATAAGTAAACTATATTGTTTTGCAAGTTGTTAGTGCCATGTTACAATATAAATTTTTATTGAGAGAGTTAGTTATTCAATGTTAATCCCCAGGCTTTCGTTTAAATTAAGTGTGACTTTTATAAAAAAAATTTAAACGCCTTAATTCATAGGATTATAATAAATAGAAATAAACATTTTCTTGTCAGTTTGATTCCTCTAATGATGCACTTTTTGGTGGTAAACTTCAATTATCATTATATTTGTATTTGTGTGTAAGCATACTCTCATGTAATGGTACATTTCATAAACAATCGATGGAGTAAAAGGCATCATTTAAAGTGCATAAGTATTTATAACAATTATGATGTAATAGACGCGTAATATTGAATAATTTTAAGATAAATATATATACAGTAAAATATTATGAATTCGATTTCACTGTTTCATTATAAAAAGGAAGTCATTAAAATTAAGAGAAATGTATAAAGTAAACATGGAACTAAGTTGTTCGTTTTTCAATATATTCATTATTTTGCTTGTTTCTGTTGATTATACAAAATGTATGTCAAATGTAATAAGTGGCAAAATACTTATACCAGTATCATTTGGGGCTTATGCTTCATTGGATTATCCATTCATAGTATTGTGGGGGGAACATATTTATAGACCTTACAAAATACCATTTTATTATGGTAAGTATAACGATAAATATAATTACTACTATTATCCTAATTATAATTCGCAATCGGTGGTACCCACTGAATACAGTTCATCATCATCATCATCATATGAGAATTATGGAGATAATCATAATAATGAAATACTGGAAAGTGAACGACAGGCGGAAAATTTATATTATTATGACAGAAATACAAATTATAAAACTTCACCTACCAGTCAAAAAGATGATCGAAGTTATAAAAATGACAATTATCAGACATCCTTTTATGATAATATTAAATATACCCAGCCAGATTATAACGCAGTTAAGAAAAATAAATCAAATTCTATGTATAGTAAATACAATTACAAGATGCCTGAAGTTACAAATTCACATAACAGGAAACGCTTACACAAAAAATCGACATACAAGTATAAACCTAATGTACATAAACTAAAGAAATTCGGATATAATGATCAATACAAAGTATCAAGGACAGTTTATTCTAATGATAACCTTAGAAAATATCACAACAATAACAGAAAAGTAAGTTATCAATCAAGTAAATCTAATGATCACCATCATATCGATGATCACCATCATATCGATAATCATCATTATATCGATGATCACCATCATATCATTGATCAACATCATATCGATAATGAACATCGTATGGATAATCTCCATAGTATCGATGATCACTATCATATCATTGATCAACATCATATCGATAATGAACATCGTATGGATAATCCCCATTATATCGATGATCACCATCATATCATTGATCAACATCATGTCGATAGTGAACATCATATCGACAATGAACATCATATCGATAATCACTATCATATCGATGATCACATAATTAGGTCTTTAAACAAGAATAACGATAAGTTTGCAACAATGAAATTGAAATATCATGATCAACTTATTGATTATATGAGTAAACCGGATTATGATAATAAAAATTATGATAAATTTAATTATAGAAAATATCAAAATCCTAAACGTGTTTACAAGAAACCAATGATCAATAGTCGAGAAATGTTAAATGATGTTTATGAAAAGAAGAAATCAAAGAATGGCGATAAAAAACGTCGAGAGGAATACAGTGATGATCGAAATGATAAACCAAAACCTGACAATGAAAAGGATTATATTGATAGAAAAACTAATTATGATGAGGGGATAAATAGAAAAGCCCCAAAAAACAAAATGGGTAAATCAGAAAAGAAGAAAGGAGACAATAAGGAAGAGGTTAATAAAGAAGTAAAACATCCAAGTGAAGATGATGTTAGTGTGATTAAAGTGGTCAATGAATACGCATAAACATAGAGTAATGAATATAATAATAATGTAATGATAATTTAATCCTAAATATAATAATTTAATATAATAATATGGTTGCCTTTTTATAATTCTGTTATGAACTGTTGATCATTCATTCTGAAAATCAAAATGAACTTGAATGAATAAAAGTTGGTAAAATGATTAATCAGGTTTGCAATAAAACTTATTTCTTTTTCTTAAAAAAAAACTTTTGTACAGACTCATTGTACTTAAGGGTTTAATCTACTGATTACGCTCACTTTTAACGCCCGTTCAGTCGAGTTATGCAAGGAGACAGGAGACCAAAACTGCGTAGCAAACTTTATTGCCAATAGCTAAATAGTGGTGCTTGTAGTTCATACAAATATTTAGATGATCAAAATGTTATAGAAAAAAAAAACAATCTTTTATAAGTGACAATGGTTAAGTGAATAATTTACCAATCATAGCTTGATCATATTTGGATCTTATTTACTGAATAAAATCTTACGTCATTATGTGGTTTGTACAACTTGATTTTGAATGTAATTCTTACAGAAATTGTAAATAGCTAATTTTGCAATACTTTTTATCCATAAACTTGTTTTTTGGAAGTTGGATTTCAGAGACGTTTGTGCCAAAATCTAGCTACCTGTTTACTTTTAAAAATTTAGAACTAAATAAATTCAATTCTTGCATAATATATGTTATTACTTCTGCTTTCAAATAGGCGGTTTAAGGCTACATTATGAAATTATGGTTAGCAATTAGATATAACAGATTTTTCCGAACAATAAATTTTACGGTTTAAGAACGAAAAAAAATTCTCTCAAAAATAAGTCATAATCAAAACAAAATACAAAGGAAACTTATACGAAAATGAGCTTTTTTGACTAAACAAACAGTTTTTGAACTAATAGCCTCCCAAATTAGTGATTAGATGCTACAGTGAGCAGGTAACGTCAAGTTGAAAAATACAACTTACCATTCTTACAATGGGTTAATTCAGTGATCTCGAAGAATTAAAGAAATAGAGGTAAATAGGAAAATAGACTTCATAAAATATATAATCGGTATTTTAAAAGGAAATCAGTTCAATTTATCTAAGTCTCAGTATTAATAAACTAGTGGATTGCTCACTACGATTTTAGATTTAAGAGTAAGTAATTTGATAGATGTTGATACTATGGCTGGATTACCATAATATTTCTAGGAGGAATTTCTACGTTTCCAGTTACCATTATATTAAATGGGTCATTACTCATAAGGTTATATTGACTTATTTAGCTTTCCAACACTAAAGTTATGTTCCAAATTATTGATATAACTTGTTGCAGGTGTCTTCGAACATAATTTCGTATTACATCGCCTTCATTCCATTTTTACCTCCTCCTCAAATCATCAAAACTCTTGGACACAATTCGACATAGTCGACAGATTTTGATCGGGACTGAGAAATAGTGTGATTAATTTAGATACTTCATTTTAAAATTGGTGTTTTATTGAGTTAACTCCAAATCTATTATTTTTCAGACATATAGTTTAAAGTTTGTGTAAAAAATTCGTATAAATTATAAGTAGTTTAAGAAAAACTACGACTTTGTTTAATTGTGTTCAACCATAGGAAAATTCTCATAATTCACTCAGTTTTTATTTTCTCACCGAAAGTAGTAAAATACATTCGAATACGTATATGAATAAATTTACAATGCTAAACTTTAGTAGAAAACAATGTTTTAAGTGTGGTCGTTGTGTGTGAGTCTGGATTTTATGCCTATTAGAGCACATTAACAATTCATGTTTTAAATTTGAGGGTACCGACGTCCTGCGTGGGATTCAAACTCGATTAGTTCGATTTTAAGATAAGAAGCTGGAAAACCATTGGAATCAATGGGGGACTTTACGGCAGTTTTTCCATTTTAACGTTTTGATAGAGAGCTCTCTGTCGGGAAAAGACTGATATTAATAAATACGAGCCATTTACTTTCATCTCGGTGCCCCTAATATAACGATATCCCAGCAAGAAAGATTACTGAACTCTATTCCTGGTGTGGTCGCATATTACTGAGGATTCACAAAACACGATAAAAGTTTTGTCCAGAACTTTCTATGTTCATAGGTGATATCACTTCCTAATAAGAAATATCTTCAAAACTTATCAATTTTGGTGATTCTTTTTAGTCATGAATATTAAACATGGAAATAAAGAGCAAGAATTTAAGTATTTGGCTTAAAAAGATGTTTATGATTAAAACGAGGTTTTGTGGAGATTGCAGTAAATTTAATAATTGAATTCGTTAGTCTATGTAATCTAGACCACCATTGAAAACCTGGAACCACTGAAGGGCCGTTTCGTCCTAGTACGGGACTCCTTGATAGTGTGCATCCACGATCCTGCATGCGGGACTCAAGCCCAGAACCTTCGGTCTCGTGCGCGAACGCCTAATATCCAGACCACTGAGACGGGATCCAATGGTGTTAATGTCTAACTTCAATCGATCCATGATCTTGTGCAACCATTCATCTATTGTCTGAGGTAGATTCTGTCTCTACCCGGCCCGGATTCGACCCATGAATTCAACTATTAAAATCACCACTAATCCCACAAAACCACCATTCCGACCATAATCATCATGTGCTCACTAATGACCGGCTTCAAGACAATTTATAAGTCAAACAAGTACTATTGGGTATTTCATACAGTGTTTTTCGTATGGGATCGGAACCACTGAATTCACTGGCATTAGATCTTTTAACAAACGAGCACATGTGCTATAAATGATTATCCACAGACTACTAACTGTAGAGTTGAAATAAGTAACGGAACCACGGTAGATGATGGAGGTATATCAGTAATATATATGATTACTGAATTCTGCTCTTAGCTTTGTGAGAAAAGGACATCTTAGTTATTGAGTGTTATGACCCGATGAGAATAATGAATGGTAACTTTTGGGATCCATTTATGGACTAATACTGTAGGTATATTTTTATCGTATCATTGTTAAATAAATAAACTATTCATATTCATGTTCCTCTTATTTTGACTTATGAACTATTATTATACGGTTTATCATTCTTGAGTTATGTCTGGCCTATCAACAACTATCTCCCACATTCACAGCCACTTTTGGTTAAATCTTGTACAAATGTTTGTTCACTATTTTATGGTACGATGTAGTCTGTTTGGTTGGTATATAAACCCAGTATGTTTGAAATAAATGATTCATATCGCAGAGGCTGAGACTGGTGTTCGCGACTTAACGGGTGGGGCTACGAGGAAGCATGACCGATAGGGACTCTGGACTGCTCGTACGGGTCTTATGCGTCATTGGTCCGATTGATAATTCACTGTTCTCTAATTGGCGGTATCATTACATTATACATTAATAAGATACATAGCAAAAGTGATAACATTGAGATTTCCAACATTCCACTAATGATTATTTGAAAAATTTAGGGGACGATATGTGAATTTTGAGATACCAAGGTTATTCCATTCTTGCTTACTTAGAATGAACACTACAAAAAATCAAGATCTAACTAATCACTTTATTTCTTGCAAACTAGAGCAACTAAAACCGATGTATTGTCATAATGAGATCAGTATAGATCCAGTGAGTGAGTGTAACGAAAAGTAATAATCCGTTACAAATAATTACAGTAATAAATATGTCTCATTTTTAGACGGTCGAAGTTTGACCAAAAAAACAACGTTTTGCAGCAAATCTCAATAGATTTTTCAAAATAATCATTAAGAATTTGATGAATAACCAATGTGGAATAAGAAGAGTTGTGTTGTGACTTTAAACCCGGTTAAATATCGCGTGACTTATTCGCCAATCGGAATATGACTGTTGCAATTTAGCAGTGTGCCAAACCAACGACCTATCGACCGGTATGAGCAGCCTAGCGTCCTTATTGGCCCTTTTTCCTCCCAACCCTACCGGTTGAGTCCAGAACAACAATACTAGCTTCCACTGTGCAAAACATTTATTTCAAACATACCTGATTGATACAAGCTTAACAGGCCACATCACACCATTAAATAGGAAGTAACGTTCGTACAAGACCAAGCCAAAAAGTGGCTGTGAACGTGGGAGGCCATAATCAATAAACTGAGCATAATTTAAGAATAGTAAGTCGTATAGTAATAGTCTATAGGCCAAAGTAAAGCTTGTAGTAAGAGGAGTATATATACATATAATCTAGTTACTGAATTGTTATACAATAAGAATATACGTATAATATTTGTCCATAAATGGACCTCAGAAGTGACCTATAATTTAATCTTCACTTGGATATAACACCTCCCCTTTTTTGAAGATTAGAAGTTTAGATCCTGAATAAAAAATATATGCAGCTTTAAATTCGCTAACATTATCTTCCCTCACGAAATAGTTTTGGATCTCCATATGCCCAAGTTACAAATAATGTGATTTTATCTAAAAACATATTTCTCGCATTTGAATATAGAAAACATTAGAAGTGACTAAATGGTGAGGATGAGCGACATTTAATTTGAGGTCATCAGGGTTTAATTCTTCAGAAATATTTTCCTAAATTCATTGGAATCTCATTAGTGGATAATGGGTCACTAGGAAAATCAACACTTATAGAAACTGCATTAGACTTTTGAAAGTGAATAAAACATCCATGGTGCTCACAGTGATCATACAGAGCTTCGAGTTACTGAAGTTAGATTTATTTCAGTATTTCATGGGGAATGGTTAAAATTGAAGATCGTTTTTTTGTTGTTGTAAACTCACATCGATTGAAAAACCACTTCAAAGGGAAGGACTGTAAAGTTCTTTGTTATTTTATAAATCGTCTATGAGGAGAGATCGTTTTCTACTGTTGATGAGTCTCAATCTAAAACAAAACAGCTTTCAGTGACATTTGTTTTTCTATGGATTTCCACTGGACATCAGGTATTGATGAAAACTATCTCTTTTAATTACTACCATTATATATCTCACCAATTAATCTACTTAATGAATTATGCAGTCATTTATCCTTTGGTGGTATAGTTTTCCTTTTTTCTGTTACTATTAACTTACAATGTTTCCGTATTATCGCTTGCACATACAATACAAAGTCACAAGCTTTTTCAACAGATACTATATTCTTATTACTGTACGGATCTGATTTTTATTATTAATTATAGGGGGCGCAATTCATGATTTTTAAATGATGCGTGATCACTCTGGGATATCAATAGTGAAGAAATACAAAACCTTACAGTTGATAATAAATATCTGACTTTTCAAAAAAGTTGGCGACTATAATGACTCAGTAGCCTAGTGGCTAACGTTCTGCAGTTTGTAGCAATGGTACAGAGCCAAAGTTTCAGTGAATAGATTAACACAGACGTTATTATATACAACTGGCAAACGCCGAATTAGATGAAACTGGTGTCCTAAACACTATTTAAAACATATTATCGGCTTTTTGTCTCTTAATATATTTTACTTATTTGTTAAACAGATAAGGGTTAGGGTCAGAAGATTAATTTCAAATTGTTAAAAATAGTAGTAACAAATACTGCTTTGTGAATCTAATTTCTATTATGTATGTAATTCTATAGCGGCTAGCAGTAGAATCAAGGACGTGTGATCAATTATGTTTGGGATTTATCAGCTGGATGAAACTCACAAAAGAGATTGGTCAGTTACGGTCCTGAATATCAATAACTATAAAGTGTAAAACAAACAGTTTGAAATAATCCAAGTAAAAAGCATTTAAATGACAGTCTTAATGCACTCAGTATTACACTTTACATTTTTAATACAAATGTGAACTTTGCAACAATATAAAGCGTTATTCGTAAATTACGCAAAATATTGAATTTTAACAAATGTACTTCATAAGTAGCTTCTATATATAAAGCCTCAAGTATATACAGTGTAAATGCCTTTGTTTAAGTAATCATAGCATTGCTGTTTTTCAGGATTGAAAAATGAATTTATTAGTATTCAGTATACTAATAACTTATATACTGGATAGCGTTTATAGTGCACACAATGGATATACTAATGGAATTGACACAACTACCAGTCATCATGGTGGAGGTGAAAGTCAGGAAAGTTCTGTAGATGTTTATGATAAATATTCCAATGGTAAAATATACAGTAATGAGTACACGAGCGATGATTCCAGCAAGTACACTGACGGTAAAATCTATGATAAATATGGTCATGAAAAGGGAGACGATAAACATGCTTATGGCAAAAACCATGGAAAAAGTTACGATAAATATGCTTATGACAAGTACGGGTATGGTAAATATGGATATGAAAAATATAGTTACGACAAATATAGTTATGGGAAATACGGATATGACAAGTATGGTTATGATAAATATAGTTATGAAAAGGGTTACGACAAGCATGGATATGACAAATATGGTAAGGATAAATATGGTTATGAGAAAGGTTACGACAAATATGTCTCTGATAAATATGGTTATGGGAAAAGCTACGACAAGTATGGCTCCGACAAAACTAGTTACGAGAAGGTTTACGACAAGCATGGCTCTGATAAGTATGGTTACGAGAAGGGTTACGACAAGTATGGCTCTGACGAAAATAGTTATGAGAAGGGTTACGACAAATATGGCTATGACAAGTATGGCTCTGACAAATATGGTTATGAGGTCTACGACAAGTATGGCTCCGACAAAAATAGTTATGAGAAGGGTTACGACAAATATGGTTACGAGAAGGTTTACGACAAGCATGGCTCTGACAAATATGGTTACGAGAAGGGTTACGACAAATATGGCTATGACAAGTATGGATCTGACAAATATGGTTACGAGAAGGGTTACGACAAATATGGCTCTGACAAGAATAATTATGAGAAGGGTTACGACAAATATGGTTACGAGAAGATTTACGACAAGCATGGTTCTGATAAATACGGTTACGAGAAGGGTTACGACAAATATGGCTACGACAAAAATAGTTATGAGAAGGGTTACGACAAATATGGTTACGAGAAGGTTTACGACAAGTATGGCTCTGACAAATATGGTTACGAGAAGGGTTACGACAAATATGGCTACGACAAGTATGGCTCTGACAAATATGGTTACGAGAAGGTTTACGACAAGTATGGCTCTGACAAATATGGTTACGAGAAAGGTTACGACAAATATGGCTACGACAAGTATGGCTCTGACAAATATGGTTACGAGAAGGGTTACGACAAGTATGGCTCTGACAAATATGGTTACGAGAAGGTTTACGACAAGTATGGCTCTGATAAATATGGTTACGAGAAGGGTTACGACAAGTATGGCTCTGACAAATATGGTTACGAGAAGGGTTACGACAAGTATGGCTCTGATAAATATGGTTATGAGAAGGGTTACGACAAGTATGGCTCTGACAAATATGGTTACGAGAAGTATGGCCATGAGAAACATGGTAACGACAAATACGGTTACGACAAGTACGGGTATGACAAGTATGGTTATGGAAAAGATTATGAGAAATACGGTTACACCAAAGAATATGGTAAGCATTATAAGGATTACTATAAGAAATATGAAAAATATGATTATGGTAATAAATATGAATACAGTGATAGTAAAGATCATGATAAGCATGATCATGATGAACATGACCATCATGACGACCACGACCTCCACCATCATCATCATGGGCATGACCACCATCATCATGGACATGATCACAAACATGGCAAAGGATACTAACTACAGTGGATAGCTTCTTCCTAAGATATATAAAAGCTAAAATTAATAGTCGCAGTAAAGTGTCTTTCTCATTGCTTTTTCAATAGTCAGTTGGTGAATCATATAGACAGTGGAAAAAAGCCACTTCTAGTGTGATATTAAAAAAACTAGTTTTCATTTCCGCTAAAATAATAAAAATTACTAAAATTCCAACGATTGTAGACGTTAATTTTATTTGTTAATCTATATTGTATTAAGCATATGAAGAGAAAAAATTTAACTAATGGATAAAAATTTATAAGATCACAGTGCTGACGGATTAAAAATTGATATTACTGTTACACGAGTAGCATCGGAATGGTAATTACGTTTATTATAGAGGGATTATAGATAGATATCATACATGTAGTTTAATTTGGAGAGTTATGCGATTGGCATCTTTTTTATTTAGATTAACTTGTTGAGTTAATCTAAAATGTTTTTAAAATAAAATATATGCGCGTATATGTTTCAAACCAAAAACTTTTTGATAGATTTACAACGTAAATTACGTGTGCTCAGATATTTGAGTATCCAATTATGAGGTCGGGAACTGATTGAACTTTGACGACTTTTGGGAGCCTGGGATGCTACTTCACTCTGGTATTAGAACCCTCGCCAATGCCCATCCACGACCCCGCATCTTGGAGTTGAACCCTAAATCTTCAGCCTCATAAACTAAAGCCTAAATCATAGACATTTCAGCCGGCATTCAACAGTGTCAATGTCTAGCTTCAATCAACTCACCGTACTGCACAACTCCTACCTGTTACCTGCAATGGATGGCTGTGAAAATTTTACAAATTCCCCATACTATACATTTCTTAGGTAATATATTTGAGAGTTCGAGCCCTAGCGCATACCGTTGGGGAGCTCCACACTAGGATGAAATCGGTTCCTGGTTTTCAACAGTCGTTTAGCTAATATCAGTTTGAGGTGTAAGACTACGGATCGGGATATACATGATTTGACCCAAGATTTTACTGAATTGGTGGTGTAATTTCCACTCATAATCCTCATACATATAGTTTTACCATAGTACTGCCTTGTCAATTTAATGATATTTTTCAGTGGTAACGAATCTTTGGTATGTGGAAGAAGTTTTTCATCTAGTTAACCTAAAATCATTGGCAGACATCTTTCATAAAACGAATATTATGTGATAGTTATAATTGGTCAGCCTTAATTTCATATATGTTATGTCTAGACTGTTATTACAATATTTTCAAGTAGGCTAACAAGTGGACAAAGCTAGCTGGTTATGAATTGACATGTAGATTTTTGTTGAATACTACTTATGAATAGTTTGATAACCCACAGTTCTCAGATGTTTATAGGATATTTAGTATGTGGTTTGCGGTGCAGTCTAGAAAGCGTGTCCTGTCCCCTTTTGGATTCGTCAGCTAAATGTACCACCATCCCACTATTAATACTCACACTGAGATCGGAGTCCAGTACCTTTTACTTTTAATGAAGACGGATTATCCAATTATTTAGAAAATATTTTACTGGTAACAATACATCTATTCTAAATAACTTATGACAAAATAGCTGTATCGAGACAATCCATGAATGTTCCGCATGTGGTGGTAAAGACTGATCAAAATTCAGTTATAATTATCAACCATGGGATAACTCAGAGACTAACTAATAGTAATATGAGGTATTAGTTATGGTTTAGGTTTTTCCGCTGTTAAAGTTCAGTAATTCTGACAAATCCTCAGGGAATCGTCTCGATGAAACGTGTCCTGGATCGGACTCCTGTATACCAACCAAATATACTAAGTTGTGACTAAAGGTCCAGGATGTATACGAAGCAAAGGAGACCGACTAACTGCGGTCCTGAAAAACAACAACGGGAAATTACGAACCCGTATTAAAATACAGACGGTCTATAGTCATAAATGCTATCAAATGATGAACTAACAGGAACTAGGAAGCACTAGACAGAAATCTAATTCCAGTATGGAAGTAGTTAGCTGCTAGTAACCACGACTCCATGTACAGTCGAACTCAGAAGTACCTTATTCTTTGAACTACACCGGGATTCAGTGGTTCATATCTATAACTTCAGTCAACTTAAGATATAGCGAGGTAACCACTCAGTGACTTTGGTAATAGTTGAGATTTGACAAGTTACTTCATAATCTCCTTACGATCGGTTTAGCAGACAAATGACGACGAGCAGAGCTCAGTTTTCTTTATTTGGTACTGAGGTCTGTCATGAGGTAGCTTTGGATCAGTTTTACTAAAAACTTTCTTGACAGCAGCCAATAAAAGTCTCTACAATACAGTGAAATTATATTACAATTTTATAATTTTTGACGTTTTTTAGGAAGCAAACTTCACGATATTGTAATTTCTGTTTGTTCGAAATATGAAGATCTCTATATTACCTCACCATAATACAATAAATCACCAAATATCATCGAGGATTTTGAGTTTCAAAAGAAAAGCTTATCACGAAGATGTATTCAAGTCATTCTAGGGGTTCGGAAAGTATTTCCCACTTTGTTTTTGTAAAAATGACACTAAGGGGATGACATTTTGATGCATGTGTTTAGGTTTATTAGGTAAAATGTTCAGAAGTACAAACTATTTGATTGGATACAAGATCCTCAAGGAATTAATCCTTTCAATAGAGATGAAATAGAAACGAGAAGACATTACCTGGTCTATATCCATTACACATCGATTATAAAGATAAATCCTGTTTATAAATACCAGAAAACATTTTATGGATCTTAAAATTAGTATATTAATAGGGTTGTATATTGTAATTACTACTACACAGATTATTGAAATATAAGATATCGGTGATTGTCGAACATAAGACTATAACATTGTCACCCACTTAGAAAATGAAGTTCACTTAGAAAGACAGTTTCATAAAATATTTCCGCTGCACAATACTGCTGAAAAGTTGTTTAGTTTATATACCCAATTCGTATTCGTTGTTAAATTAGTGATGTCAATTATGTTAAATGGACACCCAATATATTGGAAAGTAATCGCCTCTAAAAGCATGCACATCATAGCTGAAATTAAAACTAGAAGCTAATAAACGGATATTATGAACTGAGAGGCCAGTCCCTTGTTTCAATTGCTACACTTCGAGAACATATGGTGAATAGAAAAACTGGTAACAAGAAAGGAAGTATGAAAAGGATAGTCACTGATCACGGGTATTTATATCACTTAAATCACTGGAACTACGTCGCACATGGTAATCAACCACTGATTTATACCATCTAGTGTATCAACAACCTACGAACGCATATGACAAAATATCACAGGATTTATAGTGTACTAATATTGGTTACAACGTTAAACATTCAAGTGAAAAATATATTTAAAACAAAATAGACACTTTTCATATAATTAATCCTTTTCAGACATCCTTACGAGATGAGCATCTATTTCTTCAACCGTTAATTTCCTAAAATTAGGATAAAAATCCGCGTTAGTGACAAATATACAAGTTAACAATTCGTTCTAAGGAATCAAGCTACTTAATAAGCGATAATAATTTAGAAATAAACTAGATAACCAAAAAGACACAAACCATAAAAACAAATAACCAACACAATAAATAGAGCTTCTAATGGAAAGACACGTTTAATCGTCTGAGGGTTCGATGTAGATAGATAAATAAGCAGGAACCTCTCTAAGATCTCTTCGGTGGTCTCCTCCTCTTTCGACTTTTTCAGAGCATTTTTAATGTACCAAAAAGCGTTCCACTTGGTCATTGGATCGCGGATGAAATGGAGGTGTTCGGGCATAACTGATTCCGTCCTATAGACAAAATTCTGCGAAGATAGAGGAATTAAGCTGTGTTCCATTGTCGCTAACTATCAATTCTGGGACCCCGAAACGAGCGAATAGTTGACGTACCTTTCTGACTGTATAGCTTGCAGTTAGATATTCCATGAGAAAAATTTCTGGCCACTTGCTGTGTGCGTCAACAACCAGAAGGTAAGTTTGTCCATGAAGTGGACCAGCAAAGTCCAAGTGTATATGCTGCCATGGTGACCGTATTGTTGGCCACGATTGTAGCTCTGCTTTCCGCGGTGCTATTGTTGCTAATGCACATTTGATAGACGAACGGGATAGCTCCTTCAGTTGAGTGTCTAAATGCGACCAGTATACATAACTTCGTGCTAGTCCTTTCACGCGATTTATTCCAGAATGTCCTGCGTGCAACTGATCAAGTACTGCTGGTTGCAGCTTCTTTGAAATTATGACACGTTCGGCAAATAGCAAGCAGTCGTCAATGATCGAAAGTCTACGCTGGCAAAACTGTTAAAGCTCTGTGGAGCTGATCTTCGAGGGACACTCTTCTAGGTGGAACTTTCTAACTTCTTGTAGGACTGGGTCTCGAAGGGTTTCTTCGCTGGCTTCATCTGACGACCCTGGAATGTTTCGAATGGTATCTGCCACTATACCCAATATTTCTGGGTTTATTGCTGTCAAGGCAATGATTATATACTCTGGTTCAGGGTGTTGAACTCAAATTAATCGAGAGAGTCGGTTTGACCGACAGTATTTGTCGAGTGATGCTTGATACTGAAATTATAGCTCAGAAGCAATGTTGCTTAAAGCCGTAATCTATTGGCCGTATACACAGGGATTCCTCTCTTCAAACCAAAGATTGCAATCGAAGGTTTGTGATCTGTCAGTAGAGTAAACCTACGGTCAAAGTGAATTTTATGGAATCTTTTAACAGAGATAATTATTGTAAGAGCATCCACTTCAATTTGACTGTAGTTATGTTAGGTTTGAAGCTTCACGAGTTCACTTAATCTGCGGACGAGAACAAGGCTCGGTGACCAAAGACCAGTAATCTAGCTATTGATGCGTTCCAGCCCCTCTATCTAGAAGAAGTCCAAGCTTGGTATGGAAAATATATTCTGCATACAGCTAGAAAACGAGCGAGCCCACAAACACTATTTAAAACGTATATATACAAACATATATAATCGATATTATCATGGGAGATTTTTAAACATTAATCAATGAGTTCATCAATTGACTGCTATTTAATCATTTAATCGATAAGTTAACCGATACGATAAAATTACAAGTATGAGTTTTGGGGATATATCGCCCCCAACAAGTTACGCTAGGCTGGTGTGAGTGATCTAGCAGCATGAGCAATTGCCTTTCCTGATTTGTCCAGAAACACGTGAGATATCACTGCTTCAACTCCATGACTAGAGGCATTAGATACAACATTTCTCAAGCTAGGATCGAAGTGTGTTAAAAGAAGCTTTGAGCTGAGCAGTAATTTGACTTTATCGAAAGACGCTTGACACTCTGATGACCACTGCCGAGGTAATTCATTTAGAGGACCTCTCACTCGATGAATTTCAGGTAATGATCTAATCTATATTCCGCTAACATGTGTCGTCTTCGAGGTATGATGGGATGAGTTTCAATGAATTCATCAACTCAGTAAGCACCGAAATAACCCATTAGTCTTTCTGAACCTTTGGACTCAAATCACTGATAAATATAGGTGTTGTTTTCACAGCTATTTGGATATCTTGCTAAGCTATCTCGTAGTTAAGAGTACCTTCAGGATCGACCAAGAAGCCTTTTAGTTTTTCTTGAAATATACTCACAACCTTTTCATTGTTAAGATAAACTCCAAAGGGGTTTTCTTTTTATAACTTCTCTGAGTCCAATAAGAGGCAGGGATATGAATGCTCGCATTGGAGCATGAATAAAGTCGTTCCTGTAACAACTATCGGGGGATAAGTCTACTTCCGGTTGCGTCCAAGCTATTGGCTTTCATCACACTTCGTAGATTGTTCAAAACCCATGAAAGATTGACTTGCGAGAAGCAGGCTGGGTTTCGTTCTGGTCGAGAATGTATCATATCATACATTCTCAATAATTCTTACTGATCGTTATAAATTTCCTATTGGAATAGTTTGACAAATTCGTTCACCTAATTCTTTATATGTTTTAATCCAAAATTTGTTTGTAAGTAAAAAGTGAAGTAAACTTATTCCGGCAATAAAAGCATCACATTTAC